CCCCACTTTGGGGCCCCCCCCTCACCATGGCTGTGCCCATGGCCGCCCTTGAGGTGCCTGACGCCCTTCTCCACCACCAGGAAGGCCACGATGCCGGCCAGCACCCAGGTCCCCACGGTCAGCATGCGGCCGTGCTCCGCTCCTGGGGGCACCCATGGGTGACAACCCAGCCCCCTTGGGGGGGGGGGGGAAGGGGCGGTGACGCTGTGCTTGGACCCGTCCATCTGTCCGCCCATTCATCCACCCGGCCGGCCGTCCATCCACCCGTCCATCCATCCATCCACCCATCTGTCCATCCATCCACCCGTCCATCTGTCCATCCATGCCTCCATCCATCCGTCTGTCTGTCCGTCCATCCATCTGCCCACCCACCCATTCACCCATCCATCCATCTGTCCATCCATCCGCCCATCCATTCTCCATCCCGCCGTCCATCCCCACGTTCCTCACATCCATCTGTCCGTCTGTCCGTCCATCCATCCGTCCAGCTGTCCAGCCATCCATCCACCCACCCATCCACCACGTCCATCCATCTGTCCGTCCATCCATCCATCCCCACATTCACACATCCATCTGTCCATCCGTCCGTCCATCCATCCAACCATGCATCCATCCGTCCATCCATCCATCCGTCCATCCATCCCTTCACCCATCCATCCGTCCGTCCGTCTGTCCATCCCCACACTCCACACATCCATCTGTCCACCCATCCGTCCGTCCATCCATCCACCCATTCACCCATCCATCCACCTGTCCGTCCGTCTGTCCATCCATCCCCACATTCTGCCCATCTGTCCGTCCATCTGTCCCCCCACCCATCTGTCCGTCCACCCACCATGCCCGTCTACCCCCACCCCCCACCCCCCACCCATCTCCCCTGTCCATCCGTCTGTCTGTCCATCCGTCCCACCTTGGTGCGAATGCCCGTGGCCGTGCGTCCAGCCGCTGCCCCCCGCTTCATGGCCGCCGTTGTCCTCGTGGTGCACGTGGGGAACTGGAGGGGGGGGGAACCACGACGTTGTCCGTGTGCCCCCCAAAGGGAGCCCCAAAATGGGGGGGGGGGGGGGGGACGGACACGACACGCTGACCCCAAAAGTGCCCCAGTGACCCCCAAAAAGTGCCCCAGTGACACCACAAATTGCCCTACTGACCCAAAAATATGGGGCAGGGGAACATTGAGTGCCCCATTGACCCCCGAAAGTGACCCAGTCACCCCCCAAAGTGCCCCAGTGACCCCAAAAATACCACAAAGACCCCAAAATATGGGGTGGGGGAACATTGAGTGCCTCAGTGACCCCCAAAATTTGGCCATGCAGCCATGGGGGAGTGAGTCTCCATAGGGCTCAATGGAGCTACCATAGAGACAAGGAACAGGGAATAGAGCGGCCATGGAGAAGTGACCCTCCATAGGGATCAATGGCGCTACCATAGAAACGGGGAAAAGGAGATAGAGGGGCAATGGAGGACTGACCCTCCATAGGAATCAATGAAGCAACCATAGAGACAAAAAAAGAGAATAGAGCAGCAATGGAGAAGTAATCCTAAATAGGGATCAATGGAGCTACCATAGAGACAAAGAAAAGGGGATAGAGCGGCCATGGAGAAGTGACCCTCCATAGGGATCAATGGCGCTACCATAGAAACAGGGAAAAGGAGATAGAGGGGCAATGGAGGACTGACCCTCCATAGGAATCAATGAAGCAACCATAGAGACAAAAAAAGAGAATAGAGCAGCAATGGAGAAGTAATCCTAAATAGGGATCAATGGAGCTACCATAGAGACAAGGAAAAGGGGATAGAGCGACAATAGAACAGCGATTCTCCATAGAACTCAATGGAACTACCATAGAGATGAGGACGGAAATACAAAGCGCCCCACACGGTCCTCCAAAGCGCCCCGATGGCCCCCAAAAGTGCCAGAAGGACCCCAAAAGCGCCCCATTGCCCCCCAGATTTGGGGTTTTTGGGGTCGGGGGGGTCAGCACTCACCCAAGGCGTGCGGGATGAGGTGGAGGAACGCGTCCCCCAGGAGACCCCCAGCAGCAAAGCTGAGCAGCAGCCGGAGGAGCCCGCGGTGCTGGGGGGAGTTGGACTCCAGCGGCACCAGGAAGAGGAGGAGGTACGGAGCTGCGCTGATCAGCAGCGTGGCTGTCATCGTCTGCGGGGAGATGTTAATTGGGGGTGTTAATT